GCGATCGTGGACACGCACCTGGCACCAATGACAGCGCAGGGCGCGCTATTTAAACAGGACAGGAGGTATGTGCAATTGCCGTTTGGTCTTATTGTCCTGTTCCTGTGATCTGATTTGTGAAGTTTCCTGTTGCCGACCTCTGCTTGATCCTGACCCTGCTGATTGTCTCCTGCTTGACCCTTGCTTGACCTGACCACTCTCCTGCCTGATCCTCTGGTACCTCGCTGCCCGTTAGTTGCTGAACCCGGCTCGTGACCCTGACCATTCTCTGCCTGCTCCTCTGGTACCTCGCTGCCCGCACGTTGCTGACCCAGCCTGCCTGACTACGCCTTACGTTACGCTGACTGTCCATCCATCCATCCCGCACTGATCAGTCCCTGCTGCCAGGCCTACCAGCCTCTTCACGTCAGGCTCTATTCCCGCAACATCTCTGACAGTACTCTCTACCACTGCCGGACGTACTCAGGGGTCGCGACCTTGTCTCAGTCTGCTCCAAGTCCATCCCCACCATCAGGGGCTCTGGTGAATAAGCAGATTGGGACTTAGACCCCACGCCCTGAGGAACCCCGCACCGTGGGTTGCTAGAGATACTGCCAGGCGGTGTCTGACAGTACGAAACGGCCAGATGTTGGAGCCTGGAAGAGGACCATCCCTGTTGGAGGACATATGCCAGCACTTGGCGGTGCTAACCCAGATGGTAGAGACTCTGCAGGAGGGTTATACCCCATTTGGAAGGACGGATTCAGACGCTAACTATGTCCGCCTCTGCACCCCAGGACTCGGGTCCTTCATCTTTGGCTGGAGGTCCCCCAGAAGCGCCTGCCGGAGCAGCGGCCCTCTATGCCTTTACCGGAACCTTGTGTGCCGATACCGGAACGGTTCAATGGGGACCGCACAAAGTTCAGGGCCTTCAGCAATGCCTGCCAACTTTATTTCAGCTTACAGCTGCGGACCTTTTCCACAGAATCCGTGAAGGTGGGATTCGTTATATCGCTGCTGCAGGACGAACCCCAGGCTTGGGCCCACCGCCTACTGGAGACCCGTCAACCACAGTTCGAGCGTCGGCCAAATCGGCCCTACAAACACTCCGACAGGATCGCCAGGCAGCCGAAGAATATGCTGCGGCGTTCAGACGCTGGATGGGGGACACGCAGTGGAACGATGCGTCCCTGCGCCACCAGTTCCACATAGGATTGTCCGAGTCATTAAAGGACGAACTAGCCAGAGTGGGCATACCAGCCACATTGGAGGACCTCATCACTCTGGCTATCCAGATTGACCGACGGTTGCGCGAATGCAGGATGGAAAGATCCGGCCAGGGTGAGAGACCTACGTGGGTGTTACCCCGCATCCCAGTCCAGGCCGCTCTGCTGGCTGGAAATCGATACCCGGAGACAGCAGACACGCCTGAACCCATGCAAGTGGGGTTAACTCGTCCTTCATTGACAGTCGAGGAACGCCAGAGACGTCGGCTCAACAATCTATGCCTGTATTGTGGGGAAGCGGGCCATGTGGTACGTTCCTGCCCAGCGAAACTAAGTAAGTGTGCATCTGTGTTTTCTGCCGCATCTCCCACTTACGTTAATAGTTCTAACTACTTAGCACTGCCTATCTCTTTCCAGCTTCCCAGAAGGACCGTGTCGGCGACGGCAATCGTTGATTCCGGAGCCTGTAGTGCTTTGTAGACCTAGGTTTTGCAGCACAGCAACAGATCCCCCTAAAAACCAGAGAATGTGAATTGAACATCTTTTTGGCCGATGGGTCCCGAATCAAGTCAGGGGTGGTAGACCCCACCTCTCTGTGCTACAGTGGCTGGTCACCATCAAGAGTTCCTCCGTTTAGATGCCATCACATCCCCTCTGTTCCCAATTATTCTGGGGCTTCCTTGGCTACGGGCACACAACCCCCAGATTAATTGGAGAACCGGTACCATTCAGTTCAGTTCCCCCTACTGTCAGGAGCATTGCTGTCCCCAGGCTCCTTTAGCTCCACGCTCTCTGTTATGCTTGGATACCGACGCAGAACTGTCGCAAGTCATTCCCACATCCTACCACAGCTACTTCGACATATTCAGTAAGCGTGGAGCGGACAACCTTCCCCCACATAGGACCTATGACTGCCCCATTGACCTGCTGCCGGGGTCTGAGGTGCCCTTTGGGCGAATTTTTCCCCTATCGGAGCGATAGTTAGGGGTTATCTCAGACCTCTGAGATAACAAAAGGAGTGTGTAATCCCTGAGGGGATAATCAGCCACCAGAGGATACATCCATTACTCCTAAAGGAAGGATCTCCCAATTTTACCAGCAAAAGTATATGTCCAGCAGGTTCCAGGGAAAGTGAACCGAAAGCGTGTATAGCCTAATTGCAGGCATCAAAGGAGGTGAGTGCACATCTTCACTATTTGAAGGATTCACAACAGTCACAAATTGAAGAACAACAAGCACCAAGTCACTATATATAAACAATTGTTTTTATTCAATGGGACTATTATTTTGATGATATTTGGATTCATACTAATCACTACTAATTATTTATGAGCATTTGGTTATTTTTATTTATGGGGGATCATTTAAATGCGTTTTAGTTGAGGGTTATTAGTTGGTTTACTATTTTTATTATATTAAATGAGGGTATTATGAATAGAAATTAAATTGAGGGTATTAGTAAGTACATCATGTCACTAATAGATGATTTATGAGCACTTGGTAAAATATTTTTTTAGAGGAGTATTTCATGTGGAATTATTTTGATATTTATTTGGAGGAGATTGATTAGTTGAAATTATCTATTTAAATATTTTTTGGTATTTATACACTTTTATTAGTTATTTGTATCATAATTTGAATTCATTTAATGGTAATAATTTAATTATTATTTATTGATTAGTATTTAGGAGTGCAACATATATTTGTAGATATTTCCAACACAGTTGTAGTTATGTGTTTCATGTTTGAGATCCTCTAGTAATTATCACACCTGTGGCTCGCAAGTCACTCTGATTCATCTATACCTGATTTAGATAGTGTTGGCGGGAGTCCACCTGGTCATTATGGATAGTGTCTGAAGGAACAAGCCACAGCAGTGATGTACTCTGTGAAGCTTACCCTTGGGGAGGGGAAGATATTGCAACACTGTTGGGACAACTCACATCCCCTTTTGCATGGGATGCTGGGCACTGGCAAACCTCTCACCTAAGTTCACTCTATTGTGTGCCATCGCCATTGGGATGTCTGCAGGATATAATTATGAAAATATTGAAAAGCCGAGTAATAAGGATCCAGGATCTTTCAGAATGACACAACAAACCCGTCTTTAAGTCAACAATGGTGTTGGTGTTTCTCCTCTTTTACATAGGGCTGTAACCTATGTAAAAAAAAAAAAACCTTGCTCCAGTGCTGCCTTTGCCTTAGCACTTTTCTTTCCTCTGGCTGCATTCTTCCCTTGATAGTGCTTTCACCCTCACACTGAAGCCACTTTTCTGCTGATTTGACTGATTAAGATAGGAGAACTCATTTGCAGCCATTAAAAATGTTGCATGCAGCACTATTATTTGCTTTATATGTATTTGGGTGAGTTTTACCCTCCAAGTATCTATGATGATTACTAATGCTAGTTAATGTGTTCAATAACTCTGTTTTAAATTTTACAAGTAGCACTATTATTTCTTTTATATGAATTTGGGGGAGTTTTCCCCTCCAAGTATTTATGACAATTACTAATCCCGGTTTAATGTGTTCAAGAACTTTGCTTTAAATGTTACAAACAGCACTATTATTTGTTTTATATGTATTTGGGAAACTTTTCCCCTCCAAGTATCCATGGGGATTACTAATCCTGGTTACTTTGCTTAATAACTGTGTTCTTAACTATATGGGAAAACTGATATTGGGATCAATTATTAATGTGAGTGTGGAGGACATTCTCTCCTGATTTGTCAAAAACGGTGACAATTTTCCAAGCACTGGCTACTTTGGGTTATAGTTTTAGATTTCTCCACATGAGTGATGTGAATGAGCAAGTGGCTTGAAAGAATATATGTTTTTGTTCTAAGGAAGCTATTGCATTTTTCCCTAGTACTATATACACTAACACTATTGTAGTTAATGTGCTGTGATCCATAAATATTTAATATTTGGTAGCACAGATTTTGAAGTATAGTTTGTTTTGCTGTCAGATATGAAATGAACAAGAGCACTGCTGCAGGGAAAAAATTTGTCCAGCTGATGAAGGTAAAAATCTCACCTACTAGTCCTATTATCATTTCATTTATGCAGCACTAACATGTTCTTGATGTTTGTGAAAAAAGGGCACCTGAACGTTTTGTAATTTAGGGAATAATATCTACCCTATTGATAAGAGAACGGTTGTGCTTTTTTTTAGTGGTCTCTTCTAGCAGATCTAATCTATTGTAAATAAGTACACTTTAACCTTAACCACTTGCCTACAGGGCACTTATACCCCCTTCCTTCCCAGGCCAATTTCCAGCTTTCAGCGCTCTCACACTTTGAATGAAAATTGCGCGGTCATACAACATTGTAACCATATGAAATTTTTATCATTTTTTTTGTGACAGATAGAGCTTTCTTTTGGTGGTATTTAATCACCTCTGGGTTTTTTATTTTTTCTTAAACAAACCAAAAACCACTGAAATTTTTGAAAAAAAATGTTTTTTCTTAGTTTTTGTTAGAAAATTTTGTAAATAAGTGATTTTTCTCCTTCACTGATGTGTGCTAATGAGGCTGCACTGATGGGCACTGATAGGTTGCACTGATGGACACTGGTGGCAGTGATTGGCACTGATGAGGGGGCACTGGTAGGTGGCACTGATGGGCATTGACAGACATCACTGACGGGCACTGATACATGGCACTGATACATGGCACTGATACATGGCACTGATAGGTGGCACTGTTAGGCGGCACTGACTGGCACTGTTAGGCGGCACTGACTGGCACTGTTAGGCGGCACTGACTGGCACTGTTAGGCGGCATTGATGCACACTGATAAGCAGCACTGACTGGCACTGATAGGCAGCACTGACTGGCACTGATAGGTGGCATGATTGGCAGCACTGATAGGTGGCACTGACTGGCACTGATGGGTGACACTGAAAGGCAGCTCAGATGGGCACTGATATGCACTGGTAGGCACTGATATGTGGCACTGATTTGGCACTCATGGGCACTGGCACGAGGCACTGATGAGCACTGACACAAGGCACTGATGATAGGTGGCACTGCTGGGGCTATACTGATCATCAGGGCACACTGATCATCAGTGCACATGTCCCCTCCGCGGAAAGTCGATTACCGGATCTCCTCTCCTCTCGAGCAGTCAGTGTGACCGATAACCGTCATTTCCCTGTTTACATGTGATCAGCTGTGATTGGACACAGCTGATCACATGACCGAGCCGACATCTTCGGCTCTTTCCATGATCGGTGATCCGCTGTGTCCGAGGGACAAAGCGCACTGACGATCGCTGTGCTGCGTGCTCCCTGAGCCGCGCATGCGCAGTGAGAATGGGAGGACGTCGTATGACGTCCTCCCAGAACGAGAGAACCACCTTGCGCCCGTCATATTACTATATGGCGGGCGGTGGTTAAAGCAGTTATAAAAAAATTTTTTTCTTAGAAGGTATATTTACCTGCTCTGTGCAAGGACACTGCACAGAACAGCCCTTACCTCATCTTCTGGTGTTCCCCACTGGCATTCTTCGCTTCTTCTCTTCTCAGAGTGCCCCCATAGCAAGCCAGATATATATATATATATATATATATATCAGTTAAGGTTTGGGTTTGTTGCACCTTGTTGTACGTATTTGTGTTCGTTTTGGGTTTGGTTTGTTGCACCTCGTTTATGTCTGTGTTGCCTTAATACATTATATTGTTTTACACGCTATACCTGAAGTCTGTGTTTCCCTGTGTCGGTCCACACACCTCTGGTCATACCCGGAGCCCTGACAACCAGTTTTTACTTTTTTAACCACTTGCCCACTGCAATATATAAATAACTATATACACACACACAGTATACAGATACAGTATAGCAGGCCATGTCTTGACACAGGTCAACAATGTTTAACACAAAAAAGGATAACATGGCTCTCTGCTATCCAATTAAACTTTTCAAAGGAGATTCTTTGCAAGGTTACCTACAAGGGGTTGTAAAATACAGATTGGTCTGGTTAAGCATTTCAAAGGGTACATTGTTTAAATATTTATGGATGATAAAGAATGTGATTTAACCATATAAGAAGTATTTATTGAGGGTAATTAGACTCGAGGGGATATTCATGGGAAACAGTGAAAGGGTGACTTGTTCAGGGGACGCCATCAGACGAGTTCTGCAGTTGCAACATTTGGCTCATATTCGCAAAATTGATATTCTGCTCTTATCCTTAGACATCAACAAGGCTTTTGACACTTAATTCTGACCTTACCTTATGTCAGTCCTTCACCATTTTGGTTTCGGTCCCTCGTTCTTGCGTTGGATTTCGTCGCTATATATGTGCCCCCAAGCAAAACCTAAATATTATAGATTTGAGTCTTCAATGTTCCCGATTAATAGGGGTACTAGACAGGGTTGCCCGCTTTCCCCTATACTTTTCATTTTGGCTTTGGAACCCCTGGCAGAAGCTATTCATATGCATCCTGATATTAAGGGACTGGATGTTGCCAGCTCTCAGCATAAGTTATCCCTATTTGCTGACAATATATTGTTGTCAGTTACGAATCCAGGGGTTACTCTGCCAAACCTACTCGCGGTTTTGGATTCCTTTGCTGCTCTTTCAGGCCTTCATGTCAATCCTGCCAAATATAGGGCCATGTCGGTAACCCTTTTGCCATCATTGTTGGCGACCCTGAAGCATTCGTTCACTTTTCAATGGCTCTCGGCCTTGCCGTATTTGGGGTTAACCTCACCCTGTCTTATGAGGGAATTTATCGGGCTAACTTCCCCTCTGTTTTTAAGGATCTGACAGAGATGTTGTCCCACTGGACTCATTTTCCGCTTTCATGGTTCGGTAGAATTAATGCGATTCATATGACTTATCTCCTTAAATTATTCTACATGTTTCGAGTTTTATCGGTCCCGGTCCCTTCACATATATTGCACATTCATCAGTGGAAATGCCTGTCTTTTAACTGGGGCTCCACTCAACCTAGAATTAACAAACAGATTTTATTTGCCCGTAAGACTGTAGGAGGGTTGTCCGTCCCGAATCTTCAGTCTTACTATTTAGCGGCTAATATTGCTCCCCTAGCTCATCTTCATGCATCCCGCAATATCCCCTTGTGGGTTACTGTAGATCTGATGGATTCTCACCCGATACCACTCTCTTCTTTGTTGGGGCTTCCTCCTATTCATCGCCCTTCACCCTTTAGCTCGATGTTGATGCACACACTTCGACTTTGGGATTCTATTAAATATTCTGCTGGTCTCATTTCTCCCCATCTGCCTTTGCTATGTTTGCTCCATAACCCATTATTTCCCTAGGACCTTGACAATCCCGAACAGTTTACATGGTGGCCAGCTCATGGCTTTCACAACGTACATTCTTTGCTTTCTCCCACCCGGATACTCACCTTTGAGACTCTGCATTCTTCTTAAGATATCCCATTGCGGGAGCACTTTGTCTACCTTCAACTCCATCACTTTATCAATACATTAATACGTGCGTATTCGGGACCCTATAGGCTGACCCCTTTTGAAAGTTTTTGCAGCTATAGACCCCATGCCCCGGGGTTAATCTCTCTTGTTTACTCTGCAATTATTTCTTACAGAACACCTCCGGTTCGCTCTTATCATCAGCAATGGTAATTGGAACTTGGGGGGGAGTCTGGATCAGCAAGACTGGCAGATCATGACCCAGGCACTGTCTAAATGTTTGAGGAATGTTATTATTTTAGAAAATGCCTATAAGGTCCTTTTATAGATGGTATTACATGCCTGCCTGTTTGGCCCGTTTTATCCCCACATATTCCCCGATTTGCTTCCGGGGTTGTCAGCAAATAGGCACCATGGCCCATATTTGGTGGACATGCCCCAAGGTTTGCAGACTGTGGATTAGGGTTTATGCCCTTCTAAGCACTATGTTTCACACAAACATTAAGCATAACCCATATGAAGCATTACTATTTAAACCATTAGTGGGTCTACTCCTTCCTGAGCAGTAGCTGGCATCGCATTTATTTATGGCTAACAAACTAACATCATGAGGGCTTGGAAGACCCCCGTCCTCAGCTTCGAAGCAGTCAAAAATTGGATGAATTTCATAATGTATAATGAGAAACTGAGGGCTATGTTGTTGGACACTCACCCAAAGTTTCTACAGATCTGGTGTCCCTGGCTTCATATAGCTCAACTGTCTAGATTTGATCAGACAATTTTGTCGATATGAGACTTTTTCCGCCGCATCCCCTGAAACCCTTCTTTCTCTCTTTCTTTCTCTCTCTTTCTCTCTTTCTCTTCTTTCTCTCTTTCTCTTTTCTTCTCTTTCTCTCTTTCTCTCTCTTTCTCTCTTTCTCTCCTCTGTTCTGTTTGTCCTCATAATATTTGTGCTGATTGTAACTTATTTTCTTTTTTATATAAAAGAACTTCATCAGCAATATTGTATCTATCTGTTGGACTTCCTCAGGAGTTCTGGATGTGGAGTGCATCTGATGAGGCTCTGTGTTCCACCTTTCCTGCGTTTTGTAGGCGGATCATGTGCTGATCTTTGATCATTGTATACTAATTCCTTGGTCTCTAATTGCCCACCATTTTTGCAAATTGTGAAGCTTTATTTTATCTCTTCATATGCTGCACTTGTGTACTAAGTTTATTTCTTTGTCTATACTTCTGTGCATTTTTTTTGTACTATTCATCAGAAAACTTGTAAGTTTTATTTGTTGTTGGTCAGTGCTCTTGTTTCTGACTGTTACTCTGATGTTGTCTATTCTATAATAAAATCCATTATAAAAGAAAGGGTGACTTGTTTACCTGGTAAATACTATAGTGACCTTGTTATTTACAGTTGTTATGACAATTAAGGTCTTTTCATGCTAAGATCAAAAGTGTTTTGTCAGCTAATCTGAATCCCTTCAGCTTTGCTTACTCATAGTAAACTGTATATGAAGGGACGTTTTTAGCTGTTAAGAGAGATTCATTCATTAATATTGATGCACAGGTATAGATCATAACTCGCATAATTGCAAGCATGGAAGCTACTTAGGTGCGTATTATAGGTTGGATATAAATGCTGGACCGGATAGTATCTCTGTGCTTAATATGAAGGATCTTAAATGGAGGCTGTTGTTAATTGTAATACTTACAAACATTCTTCTAGATTTTTGTCAGCTGTTGCAAGTATCTTTTGGACTGTTCTGGAACCAAATAAAAATGTCTTTCTCTGGAAGAATCGAGTTGCTGCGGGAAAGTTCATTTCTTGGATAGAGGAATTTAACATTCCATATCGGCTGCTAAACTCTTAACTCAACAACATTAATTATAATTTTTAATAAGCTGCTGGATCACTTTCAGAAGCTGCAGGAGGGTCAGTTTCCCTCCCCCTTACTGTGTTTGTTGGGCTCATCAGCGGGCCCAAGAAACGATCCGACAGGTCCCGCGGCTGGTCATAGAGGTGATCAGAGACCAAATCATCTCTGATCACTTCTAATGCTTTGGAGGACTGGAGCGATGTCACGACATCACTTCCGGCTCTGGCGCCTTGTAACAAGGCCACTTTTTTTTTAAGCAAAAGATAAACATTTTTTATGATCTTTTGCTTTTAAAGGTAGAGGAGAAATTTTGGGGTCTTATTGATCCCAGATCTCTCCATAAAGAGGACTTGTCATCCCTTATTTCTATTACAAGGGACGTTTACATTCATTGTAATAGGAATTAAAGTGCTAAAAAAATTAAAAAGGACAGCGTATAAATAAAAAAGAAAGTAAAATTTAAAGCGCCCGCATCCCTCTGTGCTCTTGTGCAGAACTGAACGCATACGTAGACTATGCCCACATATGTAAACGTTCAAACCATACATGTGAGGTATCACTAAATTTAGTGCTAGACTTCCTCTATAACTCTAAACAGGTAACGTAAAAAATGTTAAAGCGCAGCCTATGGAGATTTTTAAGTATTGTAGTTTGTCAACATTCCACGAGCGTGCGCAATTTTAAAGCGTTACATGTTAGGTATCTATTTACTCGGTGAAACACCATCTTTTATATTTTACCAAAAATTGGGTTATTTATTATGCTTTTTTTCATTAAAATTCATCATTTTCCCAGAAAAATTGCACTTGAAAAACCACTGTGCAAATACCATGTGACATACAATATCACATCAACTGCCATTATATTCTCTAGGGTCTCTGCAAAAAAAAAAAAAAGTGTATGTATGTGTGTGT